CGAGTATCACCATGGTTGTGCGAATAATGTAACTGATGCTCTCAGCAGGAAATCTCACGGCCTACTTAATGCTCTTTATGCATGTTGTGTTCCTCTTCTGACTGACCTAAGATCTACTAAAGTGGCTTTAGAAATGGATCAACATAGAGCTTTACTTGCCAACTTTCAGGTCATACCAGTTTTGTTGGATCGTGTTCTCGAGGCCCAGATGAATGATCCAGAATCCTAGGCATTAAGACAGGCAGTGTTGGACGGTAAAAAGGGAGATCTCAGGATTCGAATGCATGATGGTATGCTGATGCAAGGCGATCGGATGTATGTGTCGAATGTAGAAGAAATGAAGAAAGAAATTCTCGATGAAGCGCATATTTCAGCTTATGCAATGCATCTCGGGAGTACCAAGATGTATCATACCATCAAACCTTTTTACTATTGGCTTGGAATGAAAAGAGAAATTGCAAAGTATATGAGTCATTGTTCAGTTTGTCAGCAGGTTAAGGCGAAAAGAAAAAAACCATTTAGGTTACTACAGTCACTTCCGGTACCCTAGTGAAAATGGGAACATATCACAATGGATTTCGTGTACAAGCTGCCTCATATGCGAAATGGCTATGACCGTATCTAGGTGATTGTAGATCAGCTTACCAAGTCAGCACACTTCCTACCTGTTCGTGAGAACTACTCTTTGAGTCAGTTGGCTAAACTTTTTGTCTCTAAAATCGTCAAGTATTATAGTGTTCTAGTTATTATCATTTATGACCAGGACCCTAGATTTACTTCGAATTTCTAGGTGGCTTTCCAAAAAGCTCTAGGATCGAGATTACTTTATAGCACTGCCTATCACCCACAGACCGATGGGTAGTCAGAGAGAACTATCCAGACACTGGAAGATATGATGAGATCTTAGGTCCTGCAATTCGGAGACGCATGGCATAAGCGCTTGTTGTTGATAGAATTCGCCTACAATAACAGCTTCCATTCCAACATTGGTATGTTACCATTTGAGGCGTTAGTCTGAAGTGGACGAAAGAGTTTTGGTGGGCCCTGAGATCGTGGATGAAATGACATGGAATATTCAAGGGATAAAGGCTAACTTGAAAGCAGCACAGGATCGGTAAAAGAGTATAGCCAATGGACATTTGACCGACAGGGTATACAAGGTTGGAGACTAGGTATTCTTAAAGCTGTCATCGTGGAAAGACGTTGTACGATTCGAGAAGAAAGGGAAGCTAAGCTCTCATTACATCAGGTCATACCAGATTATCAAGCGAGTTGGTGAAGTTGTTTACCAACTTGATCTACCTCCAGAGTTGTCAAGGGTGCATAATGTTTTCCATGTGTCGATGCTACGAAGATACATCTATGATCCGTTCCTCCTCAGCCGTTAGAGATTAATCTAGATTTGACGTATGACAAGGTTCTAGTGACAATTCTTGACTAGAAAGACAAAGTTCTCACAATCAAGGCCATTCGTACGGTGAATGTCTTGTGGAGGAACCACTCAATTGAGGAATCTACTTGGGAGACAGAGGAGCGCATGCGAAAATTGTACCCACATTTGTTCTTTGATTGATTTCTAGTAGTATTGAAATTTCGAGGACGAAATTTTCTTAAGGGGGTAGGTTGTGACGACCTGGCCCTAATTTTCTATGTAATTTTGAGTGTGTAAATTGACATCTATGCCCTTGTTGGCAAAGTGACGTAGACGAGATTATGCAGCTTTAAATTATTTTTCTCGCTATCGTAATTAAATAGTACTTATTATTACGAACACCTGAGCGTGAGCTAGACCCGAATCAAATTTGTGACGAAAAAGTTACGTTACGTTAAAGTATGTTAACAACGGATAGACTGGTATACGCGTGTGTTAATTTATCAGTGTTGGAAACACTATTATTGATAAGGAGGCTGATTTATGTGTCCGATTTATTGTGCCAAAATCTAAAAAACCTTATCACTTTCCTTTTTAAAACCGGTCTCATGTACCCATCTCCCTCACCAATCAATTTTCACACCTTAATTCTCTCACCCAACCAAACAACTTCTCTCATTTTTCCACCAATCAAAAAAGCTATCAGTCTCTCTCTCATCTTCTTCCTTTCTCTCACCCATACCTCCCTCTTCTCTACAACTGCAAGGACCTTCATCAAACACTCACAAATCGAACTTAAGAATATCACCGTTGTGATCCTCTCATCCTCACGAACCCAATCATACAAACCAATCTTGAAGTGTTAAGTTTTGACTCACCAACTCGGAAGCTCCGACTCGGATGAGTTTGCTCGGATGTGATCCCGACCGAGTTACGATGTTTTGAAGGTTGTGGGAGTATCCGCACAACTCTCTGGAGTCCCTAGGCTAAGTTTGGAGTGAAGACAATGTTGAGAAGCACGGTTTCAAGGAGTCGAGTTTTAGGCCAAGACTTGCGAGGCTTTTTCATGCCATTTTCCATCCATTTTTTGAGCTTTTGAAAGGTATAATCTTGTTCTTCTCAAGAGCTTCATTTCCATATAAAGTTGGTCAAAAATGGTTGAGAAATGAAGAAGTTATATGAGTTTGGAAATTTTCCAGAAACCGGCCACTTTTTCTAGAATCTAGCGAAATCAAACAGCACCAAACGGTGAGGATCACCTGAGAAGACGAAGAATATTCCATCAAAGTTGACAGAATATTCTAACGGCATCAGGTATAAGCGTTAGGTTATGTTACTATTTAACGGAATATTCCGTCAACTTTGATGGAGTATTCCCTGTCTTCTGTCAATTTATGCCAGACACATGGCCGCGCATGTGGCCCTGGGTTAGGGGGGCGTGAGGGCGCGTCCAGCCTCCGGCCGGCGAGTGGTTGACATGTACGGGTTCATGACTTCGAGTAGAACATTTTCGTATATTCAAACCTTCCATTTGAGCAAGCTATGGGGAGTTTTTTTTCTAACTTTTTCATATATTTGTTAATTAAGTAATTATTATTAGTTGTTTCGCATATAGGGGAGACTTATCCTGAGGACGTACGAGGACAAGTGAGGCTAGAGGGCTACGATCCATCAACATGTCAATGAGTAGGCATTTTGTTTTCGTGTATATATATATAAACTTTATAGTTTCCGCAAATGCTTTTAAATTGATTTATGCATATTATGCCATGATTTATGAAATTTTAAAATGTTGTTATGTGGTTGAGAGTTATATATTTTCATGGCATATCCATATACATATTACTTGCTTATTAATGTTGTATTGTGGTTAAATGCTAAATAATCCTACAGGATGCGCAAGTAAGTTCAGGTAAGTTTATATTGTTGATTGGAATTATTGAATCATTATGGCATGCATATATTCATGTAGTTCGCTCATCATCGTTGCACCCCGGTGTTAGTGATCGCCTCGAGCCAAGGCCAGTCCTTCACGTGTATGTTCACCTCTCGCACCGCACGCTCGTCTTGGATCCAAGTAGGTGCCAATCATGTCGTATAGGTCGCATCAAGCGACTCCGACTCGTAGGTGACCCCGATTATCGCCAGTCTTCACGTGATCGTAGCACTAGAGCGTATATTATTACACCCAGTCCTATCGTACAAGTCGCATTAGGCGACTCCGACTCATGTGCTAGCATATATTGATAAGCATTAGGGCCAGTCGTACAGGTCGCACTAGGCAACTCCGACTTGCGTGCTAGTATAGATTAATTGAACACCTGATTTTATTTATATTGTTGTTGAGATATTGTGATGTGGCATACTACCTGATTTACTGTTGATTTCACATTTGATTACATACCTATACGTAGTATGTTTTCTGGAAACTATACATGTTTTACAGCGAGGGGTTAGTATGTTCAAAAAATAAAAGGATTTTATAAATTTTTATTTTTGTGCCCACTCACCCTTTTTTTTTTCGCCCCTCCAGGTCCTAGATAGCCGACCTACTCTATGGCACACGAGGATCACCCGACGATTATGACATATCTCTATTTAATGTAGGAACTGTTTCTAGTTGTGTACTAAGTACTTTTCTAGTTTCGACTGCACTATTTGTCATCTATGCTCTGAACATTTGTATTCTATGGGTTCTAACCACTAATGCGCACTCACTTTAGTAGTTTAAATAAGTTCTAGTTTTGGTTTTAATTTATCCACCTTTTTTACATCATTCACACTTTGGTTACGTCACCTTCGGGTGACGACCAGCATGCCTCGACTCCGGTCGGGATGTGTAAAAATCTAAAGGTAAAAAAAAAAAAAAAAAAAAAAAAAAAAAAAATCGAACAGTCCAAATTTAAATCCAACGGCTAAAGCAATTAAAAAAATTATTTTATGTGTTTCATATTCTTTCGTAGTGTTCCACGAATTTCATAGTGTTGATTTAGTTTTTTCAATATTTATGGGAATCTAAATATTTTTAGGTTAAAATGTTCATAAAATTAAAATAGGATAGTCTACACAATTTATTTATTTATTTATTTTTAAAAGTTACTTTAAGAAAGAAATTATCCTAAATTCATTCTTTAATAATCTCGGGCTAAATATTTAACCCAGAAGGGTTGGAGGAGAAAAACTACTTTTGAGTTAAAACCTAAATTTTTTGAGCTAAAAATTTTAGGTTTTAACCCAAAGGTTGGAAATGATCTTAATATAGATAATATCACATGTATTAAAAAAAGCATCACTTCACCATGCAAATATCATGACCGGAATTGTTCTTTCTCTTTTCCATCATATCAAGACTATATATAAAAAGATCTATTTAATTTTGGAATCGCGTAATCATTCATATGTATGATGAACAAATCAACATATATGATACAAGTAACATACTTATGGTGAACCATCAATTTGTTTAATTCATATAAATAACTTAACGAGCTCCAAATCGATTGCTCTTTTTCTAAATTAGATCTTTGGATGATGAAAAAGAAATCCGAATACAATGTTTGAACTATAAAATAATATCACATCGTCCCATATCAATATCAATGGGCAGAAGATTAGACAAGAAGCCAAATAAAATGACAACGCATTTCTCTGCATTTTATTCATGTACTCAAAGGTTTACAAGGACCCATTGCAACAAATAAGAATAAAGAACCTGTAAAAAGGAAGCAGCAAACCAACTAACATGTTCAAGAATTACCAACTAGCTACTTACTGGATTAACAATTGTAAGAAAGAAAGTAAAAAAAAACAAATAAATTTACATGGAAATTCACAAATAACCCAATCTCTACTAGTTTGCAGGAAGAAAGGTTCTCCTGCCAAAGATGGTAAAAATACCCCGGCCCGAGAACCTCAAGAATCACCAACAATGCAGACTGCCCCAATTTGAGGGCCTGCACAAAAAATGTAAATCTTTATCCTAGGTTAATTTTTTCATCACTGCTCCCACAAATCAATCTTCTTTAGCTTTACCTGTGTTGTTAGAACCCCGTTAGAGAAATTCAAGTTAGCGAGGTCACGTTCTATGATGCCGCTGCTGCTCTCTCTACAGGGCTGGCCAACCAGATAGTCGGCACTTCCTACTGTGATCTAAATATCTTTAATTTAACCTGCTGCTCTCTGACCCTAGGAACGATGGGGCTTTGACTTTAAGGCGCTTTGCCCCAATCTCCACTGGGGTTGGTTGCCTTCAGCTCGTTCCCAGTTCAACCTCGTATCCATCCTTTCTGTGGTGTTCTCACTGTTGTCTAGCTGAATCTTCACTGTTCTCACTCCTTTGTAATTACTAGTTGCAATAAATTTAGCATTTGGTTCACCAGGGCTGCAATAATCTAATGGCACCAACGATCACCCGCATCTTCTGTCAGGTTGCAGTTTCCTCAATCGTTTAAAACCCTGTTTTTTGCAAATACAACTCAGACAGCAGCAAAATATATACAAGCAGAATAAAAAAATAACCAACTAAATGATTTAAGGCCTGTATCTGGACATTAATAAATATAAATAAAAGTGATAAATGCAACAAGACGGGGATGCCCAGATTTTTCAAATTCCATTGCTTCAAAGAAATAATTAAATAGTTGCTCATCAGAACCCATGCACAGGTGGATTTCCCCTTTCTGGGTCCATTACAGGTATTTGATGAATAACATTTTCACTTCCAATTTCAACATCTCTCCAATTGATAAGTGCAATATTTTATTAAATTTATAAGCATGTCACTGATAAATAATGGAAAATATAGAGAAATCCAAAAAAAAATACACACACACACACACACACTACAGATAAAATCTTCAATTTCTAAATTAAGTGATGGACAAATGATCTATCAATGAAAACCACACACAGATATAGCAAAATCATTATAAAAAATCACACGCATCAGAAACTAAAGTACAGGGGGCTTCAGTATACCTTGTTTTCCGAATGATTTGATGACAAGACATCATTTACACTTCTTTTGTCCACCACCTTCAATGATGAACGGCGCTTAACCCTAAAGATCTCTGAATCAGAATCGTCACTTCCTTGATCAACAACATGCCTAACCTCTGATCCGTTTAGATTCCCTGGACGCACACTAGAGTATTCATCAAAAGATAGAGAGGATTGAGAAGACTCATATGCACCACGCACCAACTCTTCAAAACGCCTTTTAGAACTTAGAGTCCCTTTGTAAGAGTTAGCATTTCCCTGTACCTGCCAGGAAACATATGAACGCAACATTACACTTTAGTTAATCCAATAATTACGCTTCAATTCATTGAAATTTTAATAAGAAAAATTGTCCTACACCCCCTGCAGAACAAACTAAAGTAGTGAATCAACATTGTGCATTAGAATACAGAAGGCAGACACATTTAGTGAAATGAACAATGTCTCACATAATTGGGTGCAGATAAGCTCTCCCGAGGCTCTAAAAGGGAACAAAGAGTTGATGCGGCACATGAAAGGGAACCTTCTGACACTGCCGGACTTGAATAATCTGCATCAGATCTCAACATGGGCTGGCCATGAGAACCAGCTTCTGGCTCTTGTGACCGATACCAAGTTCTACCAGTAAGTTCAGGGTTCAACTCAAATTTTATCTCACAATAGGGAGAGTATCCTTTGTCTTCAGCACTCAGGGATAAATTTAATGGATAAGAATACAAGTCATCTCCACTTTCCACTAGCCCCCTTATCGCCTCCAGCATACTATCGTCCTTTTCAAATTTTCTGGCTGCAGCTTCCAGTTCTGTTATTTCCTCCCTTAAAAAGAGAGTAGGATTGCTCCCACATGAGAAGTCAAGAGACCTTACATCTGCAATGGGAAACAAGATCATAATAAGCAACCACTGGACATTTTTAAGTCAATGGAGATGTTTTACTATCCGTATATATTTTAAACTAGGTGCGGTACAATCGAGTACAATCATTATCATAACAGGTCTGAGGTCTGTAGTTAGAGTTCATCAAAATTATTCACATAATAGTAAACATACCATGGCGCAGGCAGACAGGATGCATGTAACAAGTGCAATTAATGTAAGCTACATAGCAATCGCGCTTGCATAGGCTGCATAGAACAGTTCCATAGGAGTTTGGCAAAATAGCAGTGCATGCCCCTGACTTCATTAAAGACCAACGAGCACAATGCTGAAAGCGCATCAATCTCACAAAAGACAACTTAATTCTATTATGGGAGACCAAATCAGCAGATGAACAGTCTGAATCTTCCAGTTCTAAACTTGTGTGTAGAAGCATCGCTTCTTTACACAGAAGTTCTTCATGAGGAAGCAGAGGCATCTTGTTAAGCAGCGCATAACGTTGGCTAGCAATAGCACCTAAAGGGAACCAATCACCAATTGCAAAGTTGACTGCCTCGCCACAGTTGAAACCTATACTTCCATTAGAAAAAGGCATTAAATTAATGTCTGAGAAGCAAGCAAAACAACATGGACAAATAGGGCAAAAGTCAAATATAAAGCCTACCATGACTGAATCCAGCATGGTATGCTCTGGGGAAAGTAATAACAAATTCTCCTGGCTTTTGCACAGCCTTGTAGACAGGGACATCATGCTCCAACAAAATATTTGGAGGAAACAATGTTGTTTTCCCCAATAGGACATCAACTGCTCCATCTTCTCCATCAGTTGATATGATATCATGCGTGTACACATGCTCCCTAACAACCTTTTCAAATTGCAGAGCAGCTTTACCTGGAATGCCATACCAGGTTTTGGATGCGCCGCAATGATGATAATTAATACTGCCATGTGACATAAAAATAAAATAAAATAAAATATTGATAATAACTCTCAGAATAACAAAGGGCAGACACTGTTGCCTTCACTGGGATTAAATAGTGATATATACAGTGGCTTATACCTGTACAAATAATGATCCTCCACATGCCAAGCAAACATACTAAACAGCATTCCAATGTATAGCATGGGATCCGTTACACCCTATTATAAAACCAACATAAGTAACAGAGGGATACAGCCTATAGATAATGCAAACAGGTGAACTGAACTAGTTTTGGTACCGGAATTGCAATTTCTAGAAGACGCAAAATGGACTTGGGTAACCTTGAAAGATTCTGAAATGACAAAGGGGGTATCAGTTGATGTGCATGCCACCACATACAGTGAACCAAACAGAATATTATTCTTAAGAATTTATGCAAACCAATGATTACAAATCAAAGGTCGTATATATGGTTTAACTGTAAGAGAAAAGAGGTCAAAAACAGAGAAATACAAGAGAAGAGCACAAGTCATGTAATTCAAGATAAAATAAATTTCTTGTGATCATGCTAATTAATCTGTACAAAAAAAAAAAAAAAAAAAAAAAAAAAGAACAAGAGAGCATTATTAGCACCAAATTTCTCTAACCCATCTATTTGAACAAGGTGAAACCCTCTTTCTCATAAAATAACATCCCTAATGGCATCTTTGCAACAGTACTCTTAGTCTATGGTCTTTAAAATTTTCCACTACATCCTTGTTCCTTCTTGGTTTTCTACAGTTAGGGTTAGTTTTGGCCGTGCGTGGTGTACTAATCTAACATGTGCCTTCGCGTGTATCCTGTATAACTGAGGTGCCAGTTTTAGAAAGTGAACATCAACTGCCTACGTAAATATATCAGTCACCTACTGAACAGTTAAACAGAGATAAAGAATGGCAGAATCAACACCTTTAAATTCCACTTGCTATTTCCAAGAGGATCACTGCAAGAAGATGAAAAGGCACTACCATCTACATCACAAGCATACTCAACAGTTTCTGTCTTTCCACAAGAAATTTCTTGCCAAAATTCTTTTTCCAAGTACGTGGCGGGAAGGGAACCAGTACTATAATATCTACGAGCAAAAACCTTGTTCGCCATTTTCTCGAAATCACGGAATGTATAATTTCTGTAACATTAAACTCACTCAAAAACCTGAAGATTTGATGAAGTAATACTTTATATTTGTAATTAGAAGAAGCTCTCACCTTCCGCTCATGAAAAAGGTGACCTTGTCATCATTGTCCCACTCTGCAAGACGAAGAGGTTGTACTCTAGTTGTGAACTTGAATCCTGCTTTCTCCCTCATTAATACAACCCCAGCTGGAGTAGAAGTACTCAAGGGAGAAACAATCTTGCATATACCTGAATATATCATTGCAGGTTAGAATGGGAAGAGTTGGTCAATACACCACCCCAAATTTATCGGATGTCTATGAAGGGACTCCATTATGTGGGAAAAAAATGATCAAGATATTTCGCCAGAAAATACCATCTTACATGAAACAGGGAAGAGAAATATACATTTATTCAGTATCATATAATGACAAAGAGACCTGATGTATATACTCAATATGTGTATGTGCGTACTTCAAGAGCATTTATGATATCACATATCTGTTTAATTTCAATGTAGGTCAAAAAAAGGAGGCTCTAATTCAAATGCCGGAAACAGGGGAAAAAAACAGAGCGATTATATTGGAAAATAAAATACTTTGTATAAACGGCAGAACAATTGGTTCTTGTGGAAATTTCAACACTAAAACACAGACATTGAAAGGACGAAAAGAAACCAAATCTCCAAACTGAAAACAATCAAGTGATAGTGCTTTTAGATGTATTGCCAGAGGGGTGACGTAATAGCTCTCCTAACCCAACCAACAACTGAGTGAAGAAAATTTGTAATCTCCTTACCATATTTTGAAGCTTCTGGAGCTATCTTCTGTAAATAAACCAAAGGATCCTCAAACTCCTCCATTGCTGGATAGTAGACAGGGCATTCGGGAATTTTCTCAGTCCACTCTAGGTCACTTGTTTCGAACTTATCCACCCTACGCTTTGGAAAAACATCTTTTTCATGTGAAGCACCAGTGAAGAGAGAAACTGAGTTGGCACCTCCCTGTAATCTAAGACCACAGGATACAGAAGATTCTAAAGCATCGCCTCCACTTCGAGCCATTGTATTAATGAGATTTACAGGCTCGGTAGAAGTTTGCGGTCTCATTCGCTGAAGCCTTGTACGCTTCAGAATTTCTAATCCAGTTTTGGCCTCTTTGGACAAACAAACCCTTCCTTCCACCTGTTAACCAAAGGGCTAGGTCATGTACTTGAATAATTAAAGGAAATGTGAAATGCAAAATGAAATTCAGTTCAGGCATGTATCATTTGTGCAAATTTGTCAAACGGACTCGACATGTGAGCAGATCAAAGACAAGAAAATCAGCAGGAAAGAAACAAAAGTGCATCCCAAACACCGTGGTGACCTCCGATACACCTACTTTATTTAACACTACTCTTTCCTAAAAGTCGATAACTAAAATATGTTGAACAGACAGCCAAATAAAAGTTCAACACAAAATCACGTTCATTAGTTATTCAGTAGTAACATGCAGTCAAATTAATGAACATCATCACCCAAACCCCACAAAAAGTTAACAAAAATCTAAAATAATTATATATACACACACACACACACACACACACTCTCGAAATAGCAACTTTTACATAACGCATAACTACCAGCAGAACTGAAAATATTATAAAATTCTATATACAAAAAACAATGAAAATTTCCTCAAAAAATGAACACGTAAATGCATTCCAGCAATTCATTCCATCACGAATTCCACAAATGCCAAACAAATTTTTCTTCTTCTTTTTTTTGGCTGAAAAAAAACAATTTTTACAGATGTAAATGATTCCGGAATAAAGAGAGCAATGTACGAGATCTGAAATCACAAATTAAACCAGCAAAACGCACCATCTCATTCCGTAGTCTCTTTTTGTACGCCTGCGTCTTTGTTCACAGCAACACACAAGGGATAAAACCACAACCGCAGAAACCGAATCCGAATCAGAGAACCGAAACCCTAGATCACGATCCCAGCCACGGCAGACCAAAAGCAAGCCTACAGCGAGAACCAGGCCATCCACATTCCCGCCAAACGTCCGAAACGGCACCGTCTCTGGCCGGAATCAGAGATCCGAAGCCTTCGAGCCACCGAGTCAACGAAAATAATACAAAAAAAAGGTTGAAGGAAGTCAAGGAGAGAGGAGGAGACAACGAGTTTCCGTCGGAGGACGGATGCTATTCGCCGGAGACAAAGCGGTTACACGGCGACGAAAGAAGTTTCCCGGCCAATGGAGGGAAAGAGGATTAGTGAAAGGAAAGAGAAGAGAAGAGAGAGAATGGGAACGACAAAAGAAACCGAAAAAGGTCCTCGAGAAGGATAACATATAGTTTATAACCGTAACGCTTTAATTATTAACGAAAAAATATTAACGCTTTAATTGCCTTAAATATATTAAATTTAATTTACCGAGTCTCGCCCGTTCCCACTAGGAAATTGAATTGGTTCAGGAAAATAGAACGATAAAAATGAAGAAAAAAAATAAAAGGATTAAGTATCTAAAAATTTTTAATTTTTTAATTTAAGTTGGTCTCAATTTTTTTTAAACATTTTAAATAAGTACCTAACATATTGAAAATATCACATTCGTTAAGTTCCAGTTAAGTTTTCAAACATAGATTATATTCAAACCCTACCAATTGGGTATATCATGGTCAACGTTAATATTAGTTGTCACAAAATCTAAATTTCAAACATAGATTATATAATATAGAACAATGATCAAACGGGTAGTGAATTGAATCAAACATGGACCCAAATTGAAATTACATTAGGAGGTAATTGCCTAGCAAAAAAGATGGTTAAAAATTCAAATAGGATTTCAAAGTGCTTGTTTCTGCTCATATGATTTCCTCATTCCCTCGATTCTCTACCCATAAAGCCTTCAATTTTTCTTTATGTCGGTGAAAATGGTGGTGGTCGCATCATGTCAGTTCATACAATTTCAGCAACCTCCATGACCTACTTCTCGATGTTGGCGGCTTGAGTTGAGGGTGGAGTTGATGGTTTTGCGTTGGGTTTGAAGGTGATGTCTTGATGGGGGTTTGATGATGGTTAGTTGGTAGAGGCTATGTAACATCCCACATCGTCCAGGGGAGTGGATCCTGTAAGCCTTATATGTATATTCCCATTTCAACCTAGCACGAGGTGTGACATCCCACATCGCCCAAGGGAGTGATCCTTATATGTATATTCCCATCCCTACGTAGCGCGAGGCCTTTTGGGAGCTCACTGGCTTCGAGTTCCATCAGAACTTCGAAGTTAAGCGAGTAGCGGGTGAGAGCATTCCCATGATGGGTGACCCACTAGGAAGTTCTGGTGTAAGTTCCCAGAAACAAAACCGTGAGGGTGTGCTGGGGGCCCAAAGCAGACAATATCGTGCTACGGTGGAGTCGGGCCCGAGAAGTGGTCCCGCTCGGGCTGGGATGTGACAATTTGGTATCAGAGCCTAATCCTGGTCGCGTGCGTACCGACGAGGACGTCGAGCCCCTAAGGGGAGTGATCCTTATATGTATATTCTCATCCCTACCTAGCGCGAGACCTTTTGGGAGCTCAATGGCTTCGGGTTCCATCGGAACTCCGAAGTTAAGCGAGTAGCGCTCAAGAGCATTCCCATGATGGATGACCCACTGGGAAGTTCTCGTATGAGTTCCCAGAAACAAAACCGTGAGGGTGTGCTGGGGGCCCAAAGTGGACAATATCGTGCTACGGTGGAGTCGGGCTCAGGAAACAATTTGGTATCAGAGCCTAACTCTGGTCGCATGTATGCCGACGAGGATGTCGGGCCCCTAAGGGGAGTGGATTGTGACATCCCACATCCCCAGGGGAGTGATTCTTATATGTATATTCTCATCCCTACCTAGCGCGAGGCCTTTTGGGAGCTCACTGGCTTCGGGTTCCATCGGAACTCCGAAGTTAAGCGAGTAGCGCGCGAGAGCATTCCCATAATGGGTGACCCAATGGGAAGCTCTCGTGTGAGTTCCCAGAAACAAAACCGTGAAGGTGTGCTGGGGGCCCAAAGCGGAGAATATCGTGTTACGGTGGAGTCGAGCCCGGGAAGTGATCCCACCCGGGCCGGGATATGACACAAGGCCTTTTGGGAGCTCACTGGCTTCGGGTTCCATCAGAACTCCGAAGTTAAGCAAGTTCGCGCGAGAGCAATCCCATGATGGATGACCCACTGGGAAATTCTCGTGTGAGTTCCCAGAAACAAAATCGTAAGGGTGTGGTCGGGGCCCAAAGCAGACAATATCATGTTACGGTGGAGTCGAGCCCGAGATGTGGTGGGGCCCGGACCGGGATGTGACAATTTGGTATCAGAGCCAATCCCTACCCATATTTGAGTTCAAGTATGTTTACGACTTTCTTCTTATTTTTAATACTAGCATATGGACACGCACAAAGTGTGTGAGAAAATCTTTTATTTTTGTTTTTGAAATAGAATGAGAGAGTAAGGGAGTGATAAAGAACGTGGGAGTGGGAAGTGTTTTTTTTTATTATTATTATTTTAAATAATTAGAGATATGTTAGGATTACATGTAAATGGCACTTAAAAAAAAAACAGCAAAATTTGGCTGTGTAAAATTACATTTCTGCCCCATATTTCTTATTCATGTTTTGTTTTAATTAGAGGATTAAACTGGTAATTTCATAAAATTTTGGTTGACAATGAGTATTTTATTAATTAGTAGATATTAGAATGCCATAAAACTACTTTGGCGTCTCAAGAAAATATTTGGACGTAAAAGCCCTAAAACAAAAAAAGTTACAATTGAAAAGAAAAGGTCAATAATAAGTGGTATGGGTAATACTTGTAAATTTGACATGACGAAATAAGGAAAAGCACGTGCTGATCTGATGAGCCCTGCTGTTATTTCTTCCTCCCTCTATCTAATAGTCTCCTTAAATTTCTCCGCTACTTTTTTTTTTTTTTTCTTTTGAAAAAAGAAACGAAATAAGGATGTGCTGAAAAGCCTCAAACAAGGAAGACGAAAACAACTGCTTTTCTAAGCACTGATCTGATTTTCTCCACAACTATTGCCACGATATGAGTTTTGTGGGAGATTCAAAAGTAACTACCCATAAATTTTTATGTACTTTATAAAGGTATGTATTTCTATGTTTTGATTGGTTTTGTAGGATATGAAAAAATTACGTTGGTTTGTTGGTTCTGATTTGGTTTCTGATTCAATTTAGTTTCAATTCACTTTTGTTTGGGTTTTTGTTTAAACTTTGTTACAATTTACTTTTGATTTCCCCGATAAAATCATGTGCAATTTTGAGGTTTTGTAGGATATGGAGAAACTACGTCCAAGTTTTATTAGATTTGAGTTGTAATTTGTTTGCCAAGGCTCTTCTTCAGTGATCTTCAAAAGTTTGTTCTGTGAAACGAACTCATACAACCTGGGTTCTGTGCAGTGGGTGCTCACCTTACAGGAATTCACAATGCATATTGGGGATTTTTAGCGCAAACACTCTGAGCCTATCTTCGTTGGTTGCTGATGCATTTTATTTTTTATATGCTAGTTTTTCATGTAATTTTGCTGTCCAATGTATTCGACTGGAGTTGTTTCTATTTTTCTTTACACGCTATTTAATTTGGTTTCCATCATTGGTAGTTTTAATAGGTAAAAGGCACCTATGACTCGTGTTATTTTTATTATGCTTTTATGTGTATAATATAATCTGAGAGGAAATAGAAAATAAAAGAAGAAATTGGTAAATAAATTATATAGATTAATCTAAAATAAAAGATAGAGAGAGTTAGAGCAAGATTAAAAATAAATATGTATATTCAAAAGATCTTTAGGAGCGTTTTCTTCAACAACAACAAAAAAAATCTTTAGGAGCGTGGAGCGCCTGTGAAAAGAAAAGGTCCTTCGATGCTTGTGCAAAAAGGCTAGTTTGATATTAAAGTGTTTCAAAATATATTCCTTGTTCAAATAAAAATATTAACAATGCACAAAAAAAATGGAACAATAATTTCTGAACTTTAATCTAATTAGAGTTTTCGTCTTTAAATTAACAATTTATGAATATTTGTGATGACCCGTTCCAATTTTCACTATATTTTCCTTCCCGAGTATCTAAGATGACGATTATGCCCTCGGTGGCTTAGTGACGTGGATGTACATATGCAGTTTTAAATTATCTTCCTTGTTATCGTAATTAAATCGTGCCCGACATCACAAGTACGTTGACGCGAGTTAGACTCGAATCGAGTCGTAACGAGAAGGTTACGATTATTGAAGTGCATAAACGAGTAATTACAAACCAATTATATGGGCTCATTGTCTCTTGGGCCCAATCAGATTTTATTATTTTCTTCTTTTGCCAATCACACACACACGCACACGTACACCATTACCCTTTCTCTCTTTCCTTCTCAACTCTTCTCTCTGTCTGTACACCCAAGACACCCTAGTTCGCAAGCTTAACCAAATCGGCACAGATCGAGGTTATAAGGACCACCATCATCCTCCTCTCGACTTGACAATCATCACCATACCCTTAGTTTTTAGTTTTGGTAAACGATGACCCACCGATTCTCGAGCTTCGTCACAGTGCAACTTTGGATGACATGATCACAGATGATTTTGAAGTTTTAGGGCTTGAGGAAGCTTCCAATCAACTTCCCTAGCATTTTGGATTGGAGTGGATGTCGGAATAGACAAGTTCGAGAGGGTACATAGTTGGTCGGAACTTTCGAAGGTTTTTCCGACAGTTTTCCATTGGATTTTGGACCTCTAATAGTTTCCGACGAGTACAAACGACGACCTACAGCACCGGATTGCAGAAACCGGCGAAATGACTGGAGAAGAAGGCGAATATTCCATCAAGGATAACAGAATATTCCTAACGATGTCAGGTGAGACGTACCTCGAGGACGAGCGTGGACAAGCGAGATTGGGGGACTATGATCCTCCAACTTATCACTGAGTAGGCATTTGTTTTCTACATATGTGTGTGTGTGTGTGTATCATGGTTTCCAGAACATTTTTAAACTGATTTATGCTTTAAACGCCATGTCGAAAATGAGTTACATTTTAAGTATTGCATTACTATACATCGTGAATTATATCATTTGATGTTGCGGAGGCCCAGGTAAGCTTCAGGTGAGTATATTATGATGGTATTGGTTGCATTGCACCTTGTTATGCATATATGCATTTAGAGCTCATCATTTCTACACCCCGATGTTAGTGCTCCTACATGAGGCCAGGGCACAATCCTTCACGTGATGTTTACCTCCCTTTGGTACCAGCCCTATCGTACAGACCATAATAAGTGGTTTCGACTAGTAG